CAATGAACACAATGCCGCGGCGCTTTGTTTTAAAACTTGTGGCGCATATATTTATTTAATTTGCATTTTGATAATTGCGCTAAGTCATATCGCAATTTTATTTTTATTTCAATTCGAGAAACAACAGTGAGAATATGAGTCTCTGCACGTGTGAATGTTCTGGCTTTTGTGATGTTCTGATAATCTAGTTGTGTGTTTGCACATGAATCAATGGTGTGTCTGTGTTCGTGTCTGTTTGAATACACATGAATTAGTGTTTGTACTCTGTGTGTGTATTGTCTGTCTAGTAGCTGACACTTGTAATCGTAGCTGGTCCCAGCTGGATGGGATCAGTATCCCGTTGGATTAGTAGAGTTCAGATGCGGGGCTGTGACCCTACGTCAGTTCTTCAAGAGGCACCTTTACTACATCATATATAAAAATGAGCTATTTTATGTCACGTCTATTTACATTTTAAAACTTACTGCTTGTGCTTTGCTGTTCAGTCCTCCAGGTATAAGACTCATGAACACCAATCACCAGTACAGCCTCATACTGAGCTGTGATTGGTCCACGGGCCTGTCAGTCGGTGTATTCCTGCAGCTGTGTTATGATGGTTATTTCAAAACATGCCCTGCCTGTGGCTGCTTCTTTCACTTGTATCTGTGAGAGGCTCGTTTCCTGCCTCGCTTTTCCCTCCTCGCTTTTCTCTCTCCCCAGCGGAGTCATTGTCCTCTCTGATGTGCTTTTGAAGTGCCTGCATAATCAGCAGTCATGAGCCCAGAAATACAACTCTGCATTGATGTGTGTGTGTGTGTGTGTGCGAGCTGAAAGAGGGGACGATGAAATGTAATTGCAATGAGTAATTTATGTTGTTGTTGGCAGGATTAGGGAATCAACAGAATTTAACTCTAGGCATACACACCAACATACACTGCAGTTCTAAACACACTTTTCATGCCATACTGTTCATTTACTATATAAATTACATTGATATTTCAGATTCAAGAAGCTGATAATTCTCATAGTTTTTCAACCTTTGAACATGTTTGATATATTTTGATATTTGTTTGACTTCCAAATGGCTTAAAAGTTTTATTTTTTTCAGATGAAACAATTTCTTTAAAAAGACAAATGTCAAAGGGATAATTCACCCCAAAATTAAAATTACCCCATGATTTGCTTACCCTCAAGCCATCCTAGGTGTATATGACTTTCTTCTATCAGATTAATACAATCAGAGTTATATAAAAAAAAAAGTCCTGGCACTTCCAAGCTTTATAATGGCAGTGAATGGGAGTCGAGATTTTGAAGCCCAGAAAAGTGCATCCATCCATTATAAAAAGTACTCTACATGGCTCTGGGGGTTAATAAAGGCCTTCTGAAGTGAATTGAGGCATTTGTGTTTTTAAAATTTTATAAATCGTAATCTCTATCTTCCGCTAACTGTTGCACACGCTTTCACGAGAGTGTAACGTTCCAGTGTATGACATAGGTGTAGTGTAAGTTCCAGTGAGAATAAAGTTGTGGACAGACACAAGTCAGGAGATTGATACAAAACAATCTCAAAGGCTTTATCAATGCCTAGAAGCACAGTGAAGTCTGTTATTAAGATGTGGAAGGTGTTTGGTACAACACAGACCCTCCCTGGATCAGGACGTCACTCCAAACTGGATGAAAGAGCCGGAGGAAACTGGTCAGAGGGGCGGCCAAGGGGCCTACAGCAACTCTGAATCAGCTGCAGGAATTTATGACAAAGAGTGATCATTGTGTGCATGTGACAACAATATCACAAATTCTCCACAAATGTGGCTTGTATGGGAGGGTTGCAAGAAAAAAAAGACACTCCTCAAAAGAAAAGAAAGGCCACATGCAGTCACGACTGAGCTTTGCCAAAACATACCTTGAAGATTCTGAGGCAGATGAGGCTAAAATTGAATTATTTGGCCTCAACACCAAACGATATATCTGGCGGAAATCCAATACAGTAGGGATGCACCGATACCACTTTTTCCAGTACTCGCCCGATACGATACTTTTATTTTTGGTACTTGCCGATACCGAGTACCGATACCAATATTTTATTGCATTTGTAAATTTTTTAAATATTGGGTACAGAAACCAAAAGAGTATGCATAATGTTAGTTGGTTAACTTCATTTATCAAATAGATACAGTCTAACCAAAATTTATTCAGACACCTTCAACATTTCTCACATTATCACAGTTTATTCGCTATAGTTTAGAAAATGGTAATAAAATATAACAAGAGCTCAAAGTTAAACTGTGGCAGAACAAATTCAGCTTGATAATGTCAGCTAACTTTGATAGAAAGGTATGTAGCCTAATGGATTACAATCAACCCACATATTAGGCAGCTGTTAGTATGACAGTATTTACACAACTATCAATACTTAGTTGGGCAACCCTTAGCCTCAATGACAGCCTGTAGTCTCCTGGGCATGCTGTCATCCAGCTTCATGCAAACCTCAACTTCACTCCCCCCCAGACTCGATCTGAATAATTTTTGGTCCCAAATTTGTATCAGTTTTACTGGTAGTCCACTGTATGAAGAATTTTTTGGTATGATTTGTCAGTTTACTTTATTTTGCTATTCTCACTTACATAAATTAACTATAGTGTCCTGCACCCACTAGTAAAAAAAATATAAAAAATTATATCTGGTCTCTGAATAATTTTTGGTTTGACTGTATATCCTTTGGTTATTTTCACACTTAATTATGCCCATTAAAATGTATTTTACAAGTTTTTGTTACTTTCACTGTTCATCTTTAATTTAATAGCATTAGAGCTGCTCCATTGCAGCGGCTCAGTACTGTAATCACACGCTTTGCTGTAATAATGCAGGGAACCACTCGTTATAAATCTCCTAACTGATATTTTCAGAAATAGAAGTCACGTTTTTTCATCTGAAAGTGCTGCGATTTATATTCCAAAGCCACTCATATAATGCAGAAACACTCAAGCAAGCAAAACGTGCAACGTCTGCACGTGTTTGTACTGGTGCAGAATAGTGCAGCCTATCACATTTATATATTACAATATTACAATACAATATTATTTCTTATTTACATAAGAAATGCACAGATCCGTTATACTGATGTACATTTGATATTTTCTTTACTGTTTACATTCACTTAAAACAACCGACTGTGCTTACAAGGATACTTGTCAAGACAGCCATTGGTATTCACCTGCTGTCTGAGAAGGCTATATGTTTGTGCACTTCAGGTGTGTGAGCGGTGCGCATAGAAATGCTCTATCACAGTGCGTGCATACTGCATTGAGATGTCTTGGGCTTAAATGGCTTAAAATTACTTTAATGTTTAAACTGACAAGACTTAAAACACGTGAGAATGAAAAACTTTCTCGAGGAAGCAGCACTGGCCTGATCATTAAGATAGTTTTGGGGGGCTAAGGTGACAGATAGGGGGGCTGAAACCCACCTAAAAAGGGTTTAGAACCGCCCCTGGTATAGCATGCGTAATTATACTGAAACATAAATATATAACCAGTTTACCTGGTTCAGTGTGATGGCTGAGCCTGTTTCTGAGATAACAACATGCCAATCCATGGTTGGATTTCCGACACGGCTAATCGTAAGTCATCTTACACTTTCAATAAGCGTGACCAGGGTTGCCAGGTTTTCACAACAAAACCTGCCTAATTGCTACTCAAAACTAGCCCAAAACTACAAAACCCGGCAAGTGTTCAAGTAGCCCAATTCCGCGGGAAAACCGCAGACTTGGCAACACTGAGCATGACTGATACTCGAGCCAACTCAGCAGTGGGAGTCAAATTGCCCCCTAGTGGATGGCTAAAGATTTGTTAAATCATATTCATAAATTCTCAAGGGAACGTCTCTGAATTAACTAATGCTTGTGCCCCCCTGGGTTGAAAACCCCTGGTGTAGAGTACAAAGTAGTGTAGAATTAACACATTTTTGCTAATGTAGTCTACCAAATAGTTTGGATCAGTTCATTCAAATAGACAGCCCTACCTGCATGTATGTACTGTATATGTATACATTTTTAAACAGTTCATGAGTCTGAGGGGCCTTTTACATGACACATTTTTAAACTAAAAATGGAAACGTTTTTATGCGTTTTGGCTGTTCATTTACATAACATATTCATAAATTCTCAAGGGAACGTCTCTGAATTAACTAATGCTCGTGCCCCCCTGGGTTGAAAACCCCTGGTGTAGAGTACAAAGTAGTGTAGAATTAACACATTTTTGCTAATGTAGTCTACCAAATAGTTTGGATCAGTTCATTCAAATAGACAGCCCTACCTGCATGTATGTACTGTATATGTATACATTTTTAAACAATTCATGAGTCTGAGGGGCCTTTTACATGACACATTTTTAAACTAAAAATGGAAACGTTTTTATGCGTTTTGGCTGTTCATTTACATAACCAGTGTTCTGGGGTCCTGAAAATGCAAACCTTTTGAAAACAGGTTTCAAAGTGCAAGTTTTTAAAAAACGATACTCTTGTGTAAACTACAAAAAAGTGGATTTGTGAAACCTGTGATGTCATGCGCATGCGTTTTACGTGTTCAGTCCGTGAGCATGCATAAGTGCGCATGCGCGTAGTGTTGCTTTACAAAGTGACATCGCCATCTACTGGCCTGGCATGAATAATACAGCCTTTTTAGTCTTTATCATGGATCTGTCCAGATAGGGATAGTTTTGACAGCGTTGTCGTCTGCATGCAAAACTTTTCAAAAATGCAAATGATAAATTTTTCCGTTTCCATTATTGTTGCGTCAACATACCCTGAAACTGTATTGTACTGATACAAGTTTAAAACTTTCCACTTTACCCATACAAACACTTTTATGTATAGAGTGATGTGGAACATCAGCGAACTGTCACAAACTCCCCACACTCATGTTTTTCTTGCCCACAAGGCAAGTCAAATGTTCCGTTCTGTAAAAATACGTCACACGACAAAAAAAAAAAAAAGCTTTACTCTCTCTCTCTTCTTGTTCACAGGGGAAGTTGCTGGTGCGCACAGGCCGTGCGGGTCTTGGGGAGAAGATGCTGAGGGATGCGATACAGGTGGAGAACACGGCACACGAGGCCTGGAGTGGCCTAGGGGAGGCGCTGCAGAGCAGAGGCAGTGCACAGGCTCCGGACTGCTTCCTCACCGCACTGGAGCTAGAGTCCAGCTGCCCTATACGGCCCTTCACCATCATTCCCCGAGAACTCTGACATGTCTCTCACACTCATACATGTGTATATGAATCACTGGAGCGAATGCTGTTCTTCAATCACTTTAATGACACATACTGTATAACAACAACATTGCACAATTAGGCTTTTCACTCCATTGAAAGGGAATGGTCTAAAGTTGTGGTCACATTAACAAATATCAGTGAAATTTTGCAGGCAAAAATGGTCCATTGTCAATAGATTTGTATAAAGCATTGATCACACAGATATGTCTTTCAAATCAAGCAGCTTTCTGTTGTTCAGAATGGCCAATTCGCATGACCAACTTGAATACGAGCGGAATCTGCACGGATTCATGTGGAAATGACTGGATTTCACCTTCAAAATTTCGCCAAACAACTATAAATGTGAACACACATTAATTCAGTGGCTAAAAGCATGAAACGTTAAATAATTTTAATGGGCATTAAAAAGTCCATTGTGAATTGTGTATGAAGCACTGCTCACTTTCAAACCAAGCAGTTTTTCATTGCTCAATGTGGTAAATTCACATGAAAAACTTGAATCTGAAGAGAAACCTGCGTGTATTGTTTTTGCCCTGACACGAAATTCCCAATTTTCTATTGAAACGTCTACGAATTTTAACTAAGCAATAGTAAATGTGACCTTAAACACACTGTCACTTTCAAACCAAGCAGCTTTCTGTTCGTCAGTGTAGCAAAATGTGGATGGCGAACCTTTTTGTTTTTTATGTGTCGAAACGTCCAATCGGATTCCTGTTATAATGACTGAATTTCGCAAACTTTCACTGAGCAGTGGTAAATGTGATTGCACCTTTAGGGCCAGATTTACTATCAGCTTGCGCCAGAGTAAACCCTCTGTTGGCATTTAAAAAGTACTGTCAGGATTTACTAAAGATGCATAGTGAAATAGGTGTGGACAGAGTTATTTTTGCAGCTGACCTTATTGCATGTGCATTTGTAGGACTTTCCCTTTCAGACGCAAAATTTAGGAGGAGATTATTTAAATGAATCACGCAACATGATTTTATTAAGGGTTGCATTATTCAGTTTACTGGTATTTTCGCCATTATTTACCACCCCAAAAAAAGCATATCTTAACCTATTTTGCTCTTGACATGGCTCTGATTGTTGCTGCCAAGTAGAGGCACTACAGAGAACAGAGTGCGTGGTAGAAGGGAAAGTATTTTTTCCACTCGTATGAATGTATTTGGAATGTAAGATCTGCTTGTTTGCAATCTTACGTTAATTTGCTCTACTCTTGGTAGATTGCGTTGGTCATTATGGAAATGAGATGTCATTCCTATATTCTTTAATTTGTTTATTGTCAGTAGATCATCTGCAGAACTTTACATTCCCATCGGAGCTTTTTTGGAATTGCGCTCTTGCGCTAATTTGCCTTGTTTAGTAAATCTGGCCCTTAGTCTGGTGGAAGTTCAACAAACAGCTAATATCTTTTACAGCACCTTTAGCATGACGAAAAAAGACATTAGCCCGGGGTTATGTGTTGTGTAAGTCCCTATTTAACCCAGCACTGGGTTGTGTTTAACCCAGCATTTTTTAGAGTGTACTTCTGCATAACAATCATGTTTCACAGCAGGAATAATAAGTAGGTCCCATTAAATGGGTCGATGGTATGATGCTTCTGTCTGTTCTGAAATACATTTATATGCAATTCAAAACTTAAATACACATCCACGTTGAGACAGTTTACAATTGAAATTATGAATTTGAGCTTTCATGACATGGAAGGGTTAGCGCAGGCTGTCTAATGCTAAAACCCAATAAAAAATACCCATGCTTTATGGAATTATTTAATTTAATAATTGAAAGTTATACCACCTGATTATAATTTTTTTTTTGTTAAAAGTGTTTATTAAAAATAAACTCAATAGATTATATTGCTAGAATATTTTAATTAGTACATACGTAACTGTAAAAAAAAATGTCCAGAGATTCATATGAATAACATGACATGATAAATGATAACATAATTGTTCATTTATTTCTATAGCACCGTTGTAGAGCAAGTGTCACAAAGTGCTTGAATCCAAGATAAAAGAGAATTTAAAAAAAGAAGGAAAGAACATACATAGCGAACAAAATAACAAAACAAAAAACAAGTTTAAACTAATGGGTTTTTTAGCAACTTTTAAAAAGTGTCCACATGCAGGGTCCACAGATCTGAGATTCAAGGGAAGAGCATTCCACAACTTGGGAGCAACTACCTCAAAGTCACAGTCACATTTTGCCTTTAATCTGGAGCGAGGGACAACTAGCAAGATACGTTTGGAGGATCTCAAATTCCTGCTGGGATTATAAGGTTGCAACAACTCATTTATATAAGTAGGAGCTTATATGCAATGCTCTAAACGCCAACACAAGAATTTTTAATTTGACTGGGAGCCAATGTAAAGTGATTACAATTGGCGTTGTGTGAGATCTCTTTGATGACTTGGTTAAAAGCTTAGAAGCAGAATTTTGAACCGCTTGTAATCATTTCAGGGATGAATTACTAAAACATGTAAAAAGAGAGGCGGGAGGAAATAAAAGCATGTATAATCATCTCCATCTCCACTATTGACACAAATGGCCTCAATTTTGCAATGTTTCTCAAATGATGAAAATAATTTTGAACCAGATATTTAACGTATTGATCAAGACTCAAGCCTTGCCCCATATGAACACCTAAATTATGAAGGGAAGGTTTTAACAGAATGCCCGGACTTTCCATCAATTTAGGAAGAACACCAGGAGGAGCCGATGTAAGTACTTCTGTTTTTCTTTTCTTTTTTCAGAATTTAACCGCAGGTATTTTTTTTTACCATTTTATAAAGTTTATACAATTTAAAAGAAGAGATAATTTCGTAATTACATGGGGCTTAAAGGAAATATAAAGTTGAATATCAATTCAAAGATGGATCAAGATTTGTTTTCTTGAGAATAGGTTGAACAACAGCTTGTTTAAAATAAATTGGAACACGACCAGATGTTAGTGAATTATTAATTATGGTGAGCACACAGGGACCAATGGTGTTAATCACATTTTTTTTAAGCAGTGCCACATCCAGGGGACTGGAAGAGATTTTCATAGAGCTAACTAGTTTAGTGAGATCTTCTATTGTTATCTGAGAACATTTCTCCAAACTTACTAAACTGGAAGTACAAGGTATTTGAAGAGAAGGAATAATATTATCTTGTATCTTACAAAGTATTTATCTTATCCACAAAGAAGGAGAGTAAACTGTTGCACTCATCAGCTGACGAGATTTGGTTCGTAGGTGATGGAGGAGAAACGATGTTATGGTTGGTGTCAATTTTGGGATTATGTCTGCTACTAGATATTAGAGTAGAAAAGTACTTAATTCTGGCATCCTTAACCATGTTATTAAACTCCATTAGAAGTTCTTAAATACTGATACTGAACTAGTAGTTGAGTAGATTTCCACAAATGCTCAGTTTTACGGTAGGTGTGTTTAAAAAGAGCGAGGGGTGGAGTTAAACAGAGGGGCTGCTATGGATTTCATTGGAGCAACTTCATCCAAGATTGAAAGGCAGTACTCATTAAAAAGTTGAACTTGAACATCAACACTACTGTTTGACATAATAATGGACGAATTTTCAAAAGCAGCACAACATTTTTCTTCAGAAAGGGTACTTAGGATGCAAGAATTAATTACCTGGCTGCATGATGATGAATCTAAATGAAAAAAATAAGTCAAATAAAATACAAATAAAATACGCTGTTTTCAGATGACTCCTCACTTCCAGGACAGCCTCAGCTTCACCTGAATCCCGGTGTTGTGCCCATTTTCGACCCCCTTACAAATTATTACCCCCCTTGTTGAAGTCGCTACCTGACTGCCTAAACCTAACCCCACACCCCTACTCCTAAACCTCCCAAATAATCTGGTGGGGGTCAGAATTGTGCACAACACCCGACCCTTCTCCCTCGCTTCCTCCGATGTCTTCGGGAACTTCAGTGTAGAAAACCACCACCAGAATCACCAGCTGAGTGGACTGATGTGGACAATAATGACTATGGAATATCAGCCCAGGGCGGTGGAACATTATGATCTACCACTGATGATCTTATGTAGGCTATAGAAGAGTTTGGCGACCATACACCTGAGCAGCAAGTCCATCATTAAGAAGCAGAAAAAGCAGAACGGCACACAGGACAGGTAGGACACAACACGGTAGACAGACAGCAGCAGTGGCATAGTCAAACATATAATGCAGTGTATCAGCATTAAGTTTTAAAGGTCTTGTTTAATTTTTAACATATTTTGTCATTATGTATTCATTTATTTATTCTCTTTCTGTTAGCACTTGTGACCTGCAGTAGGTGCTGATGCATGGGATTATTTGGAGAGGTTGTAACTGATAAAGTCATGCTGTTCGTCTCCTAGCATCAGCCTGTATAATTATCCTGACCAAGCCAGCCGAGCGATCCTAGTGTCTTATCACATAACAATGTTCCTGCATGGCTCACACAGGAGACCTGGGCTCATTATGGTGCATACATTTTGAAAGAAAAGGGAATGATTTGATGGAGGCCTTTGAAGTGGAAGCTTGTTCTTTGGGATTTTCTTAGTTAATCAATTAATGGAGCACAACAACAGGGTCCTGGAAGTAAAACTCCCGCTCATGTTCTCCATAGAGAAATAGATTTTGTACAAACCTTTTAGGACAGAAGTACCATGAGCTCTGAAATTGTTAAAAGGACAGTCATGCTGGGGTATGGGGCCTTCCACAAACTGTTCCCACAAAGTTGAAGACATAGTATGCTATAGTCTTGGTATGCTGAAGCATTAAGTGTTTCCTTCACTGGAAGTAAGGGGCCTAGCCCAACCCCTGAAAAACCACCCCATCCCATCATCCCTCCGGTCAGGCAGGTAGCGATCTGCTGGAATCCGCCAAAGCCCGACTCACCCATCTGCCAAACAGAAGCATGATTCAGTAATCAATCATAGAACAGGTTTCCACTGCTCCAGAGTCCAGTGGTGGCATACTTTACAGCACTCAATCTGACGCTTGGCATTGTACTTGGTGAGGCTTGCATACAGCTGCTCGGCCATAGAAACCCATTCCATGAAGTTCCTACCGCATGCTGTTCCTGCATGGCTTGATCTTATATACTTGTGGTAATGGGTCTGATTAAAATACACCTCAATTCAATAATTAGGAGGTGTGTCCAAGTACATATATAGTGTATATACATAGCCTTTATTGAATAATTCAATGATTTCTATTCTTTATGCAGGTCTATTTTTTTCTTTCTGCTTTATATATAGTGTATATACATAGCCTTTATTGAATAATTCAATGATTTCTATTCTTTATGCAGGTCTATTTTTTTTCTTTCTGCTTATGGTGAGGCAGAATTATGACTTTAAATAAATGAACTTATTATGAATTATGAATAAAATTGTTAGTATCCAAATAAAATCATATAATGAGTAACGAAACTGTGCTGCTCAACATATCCTCCTGAAAGTTGTGTTTAAGAATGTCCATGATCATTGCCCTATTTTGTAAAATTATTGGGAAATAAGAGAAGTTTGCTGGAGAAAACAAAAGCTCATGTTCACTGTTGCACTCTATTACATATCATGTTCATGCTTTTAATTGCATCTGCACATGCAGGTCATCACTAAACAGCGTGTTTGTCAAGTTCCAAGTTTGTCAATACAAGGACTGATTATGTGCTAATAAAACAAAGCGATCAGCATCCTGAGAAAACCTTCTCTCTTAGGTTTCACTCTGCTGTGTGTGTGTGACACTGTCCCGGGAAAATTACACAAACCAATGACATTTTGTGTTTGTGTTATTGGTGTTTTAAATGGTGAGCATGATTTGACCAATTACAACATGTTCCTGGATCAACATCTTTGTTGATCCTGGAACATCATTCCAATCAACCAATCAGAATTGAGGGATAACTTTTCAGGAAATGTCAGTTTTAGGCTTACGATCAGGGTTAGGTGCTTCTACACCCTTGTTAATCAGCTATCATTTCCCTCTGATTTTAGGAATAAATTATGGGTAAGGTTAGGCTTAGGGGTAGGGATTGGGTTAAGTCTGTATTTCTGGACAGTAATGTTGATCCAGGATCAACAAAAGATGTGGCTGAAGCTTACCATTAAAAATGTTCCCGACAGGGTTATTATAGTTAATTAAAACTAAAGCTATAAAATACATTAAAATAAATTTAATTACTTGAAATAATATTAAAAAAATTAAATATATAAAACTTTTTTATTTATCATTTTCGTTTAGTATAACTTGATGTATTCAAATAGCTAAAACTGAAATAAAATGAATAAAAAAAATAAAAAAAGAGACAAATTTAGACGTTTATGAAAAAACTAAAACTAATAAAAATGACAAAGACACACAACACCATTACTAAAAGCTTAACATTTAAATATAAATATGAATAAATAAGAAAGTAATTCAAAATATTAATAAAAACATAACAGTGTCTAAATTATATACTGAAAAAA